CCACCAGCCACTCCTCGGAAGGAAGGTTGGGCATTCCTACTTCCGTAGTGATACTGCCTCGGAAACCCAAGGAGGGGTTGCTATGAGTCGGGGCCGACTCCACGGCACATAACAACAACTATCAGACCAGTAAGCTTGGTCTTTGTTATGCATTTAAATCTTGTTCCACATTTTTTTCCCCACTCTATTCAGGATCTCCAATTTTGATCCCTTTCTGTGTAGTTGACAATAGTAGCTGTGCACCATCTACTTCTACTCTCACGGTCGTGTATGCTGAGGTGCTCGTGGTCCACTAGTCTCATGGACTAATTGTTTACAGGCTCCTTGAATTCACTCTTCCTTGCTTTGGATGAGGAGAGACCAATTGTTGCATCTTAGATGGTAGCTCACAAGCTTTTAAGACCCCAGTCCCTACTTACCAGAGTAGGATGTAAAACAATGTTTTTGTGTACTCTGTTATGCCAGTTGAAGTTGATGTCCCCTGTGACCATGGTGCTGAGCCCATAGGCTCAGCAACTCATTCACTCAAGGTGTTTGGCTGTACCTAAAAAGTTATCATAACTTTGCCCCCATTTGCTCTATTACATATATGGATTTTTTATAGCACATACAAATGTTGTTGTTGTTAGGTACCATCAAGTTGGCTCTGACTCATAGCTACCCTACATACAACAGAAAGAAACACTGCCCTGTCCTGCACCAGCCTCACAATGCTTAATATAACTGAGCCCATCATTGCAGCCACTGTGTCAATCCATCTCCTTGAGGGCCTTCCCCTTTTCACTGACCCTCCACTTTACCAAGCATGATATCCTTCTCCAAGGAATGGTCCTTTCTGACAACATGACCAAAGTAGGTGAGATGAAATCCGGCCATTCTCACTTCCAAGGAGCATTCTGGCTACACTCCTTCCAGGACCAATTGGTTCATTCTTATGGCAGTCCACGGTACTTTCAGTATTCTTTGCCAACAGAACTCAATAGCATTAACTTTTCTTCCATTTTTCTTATTTATTGTTCAGCTTTCACATGCATATGAAGCGTATG